TCCGCTCACGGAGCTCAGGGGCACCCCAAAGTGGAGCAGAACCAAGGGCTTCTCGTCCGGAATCGACGCGTTCGCATGCAGAACGATCGTGCCGTGGCAGGTCGGCGACAGCACCTTCTTGCTCCACTTGACCGTCCACTTCAACGTCTAGATATATATAAATGTATAAGACAGGGCCTCACGGAAGAATATATATATATATATATACGGGGATTGTGCACTACACACAAATATATATATATATCTTTGACCAACAACATGAAACAGTGGGTTCCAACACATCCCATTGTTCATAGAAGAAATGGCAGTAAAAGAGACGTTCATCACGTACAATATATATTATATATATATATTGTACGTGATGAACGTTCTCTTTTACTGCCATATATATATATATGTATATATATTGTACGTGATGAACGTTCTCTTTTACTGCCATAACTTCCCATTGTTGGTCAATATATATATATATATATTGACCAACAATGGGAAGTTGGGGGTGATTAAGCTTCTATTACTGTAGTTTTCATTCCGTATAACTAGATATATATCACGTATAAATATATAAAAACTACGAAGTACATATATATCGGGGCTCACATAATTCGTATAACTACATACACAAAGTCGCTCCATACGACGGTTGTATAAATATATAATATATATACATTTCATCGACCCACAACGGGAGAACGTGGGCTATATATATATTACCTTGGTAACATCATCAAACAAGCAACTGCCGTGGTTCGTGTTGGCATTGACAGTTCGTACAGCGGACGGGAAGATCACTTCCACCGACACATCTTCGGGCCGGAGTCCTTTTTTCGATGTGGACACCAGCGTCGGCATGTTGCGCTGCAGAAGCACGAGGTCTATGGCGCCGCCGCCGATGCCGCCATGATTGGGAGGTTTGTCGTATACGATCGATGGCTGGCAGTAGATGGGCGGCACGACGTGATTGACTTGGACCCGGTATTGCATGAGCTACACAACCATAAAATATATTCATAACCCAAGGTCGTCAACCCTCTCTCGAATCAGGAGAAAGAAACGACTGGAAGTGGTTACGAGCCAGCACATTCAAGTCTATATATGAAGAATTCAATATATATAACCGACACCAAATATATATATATATACATGAAGACGAGCATGCAAGCATATCGTAGGCATCAAATGAAACATATACTACTTATAATATACAACTCACACCAAAGCTAGATCTGTTCACACAAATGTGGACTGGGCTACTTACTCTTGATTGGAGAAATCAAGTGGAAGCAAACAGTTTTATAATACCATCCAAAGGCTGAACTATATACATATTGCATATAATATTATAACATATGGACACACCCTTGGGGCAAACATCGCTGAACTGTCATTGGTTGGGATTTTTAACACCAAATTTCATGGGCTCGTCGGTTGATTGCAGGCTATTTGATTGGACAACCCTCACACTCCAACATTGAATCAAATATATATTATACATATATATACATATATATATACAACCGTCGTTGCACAACGCATACACACTCCAACTTTGCATCAAATATATATACATATATATATATATACGCATACACACTCCAACTTTGAATCAAATATATATTATATATATATATATATATATATATATATATTATATATACATATATTATATATACAACCGTCGTTGCACAACGCATACATACTCCAACTTTAAATCAAATATATATATATATATATAAATACAACCGTCGTTGCACAACGCACCTCAAAGACCCCGTCGGGCGGGACAAATGAAATCACGCGATCATGTTCGTAGCGGGCATACCGGACGCACGGATGGAATGAGCAGTCGTCGATGACTGAAGGGTCGCGGAAGACCATGGTGAGGTCGGGAACCCCCGAGAGGCGGCAGTTGCCGTGGATGGCCCCGTGGACTTCGCACTGCAGCATCTCCCCATTTGCGTCCACAATCGCATCAATCTCTTCGATTACGTCAAAGTAGATTTCGTTCTAATTAACATAAAAAAGATGTGAAATTCACCCAGTCATATCACGACACGACCGTACGTACCTGCGAGTATTTCACGCCCGCCTTGCGCCATGGAATGTTGGACAGCGCGCCATCGGGCAACGAGTCACTCACCCCCGACCGTCCCTACGAAAAATAGCCCCATTTCAGTGAAAAATAGCCCCATTTCAGGGAATATAGCCCAATTATGAGGGAAAAGTCGCCAAATGTGAGGGAAACACGTCAAACATTGCAGTGAAGGTGGGAACACGAAGGGACGTACAGACACCATGGCCGCGAGACGTCCAACGGCGCCCGGGGGCGGCGCTACCATCGCCTTGAGCGCGTTCGGCTCGGTCGTGAGGGGGTATCCGTTGTCGAGCATTTCCTCAAGCAACTGGTACACGGTCGAAAAGTTGTCCTTGATCACAGACTCTTCAAACTTGCCAAAGTATTCCTTGAACACTGCCACGACGCGATGGAGAAACTCGATCACAAACAGCGGCGAAATCTACCGTTGGGGCGTTGGATCGTCATCGACGTCTGACATCACACAATGCTACCTCGTTTGTGATCACAGCCAGCACGAACAGCTCTTCTCGAAAGGCGCTGATGAGGTAATGATTCGCCGTCGAGATGATCGGCGGCACGTCCTACCGGTAGTACTGTCGTCAGTCATCGGGCGGAGGTGTGGGCATGGGATGATGGATGGATGTAGTACCTCCCGCAGCTTGTGCCGGTTGACCTCTTCAACAAAGTAGTCGCATATCGTTCGGTTCGTGGTGCCGCGCCAATGCTTCTCGATGATGGTCTCGCCCGTCGACGTGATGATAAACAAGCTTTGGATCATCTTTCCCTTCGAATAATATTGGGGAAAATGGAAAGATCAGCGAGCGTCATTTGACGTTTTTAATTTTAACCAATCCGATGCTTCATTCATATGATTCGCTGAAAATAGAGCAATTTACCATTTTATGACTATTTTACACCAATCATATCGCTTTATTGCCGAGATTTATTTGTATTTTATCCAATGCTAGACATTCATCAACAACACAATCCGTTCCGACAGTTTCGGTTTCACCGATGATTTTTTTACGAGATTTATTTGTATTTTATCCAATGCTAGGTAGACATTCATCAACAACACAATCCGTTCCGACAGTTTCGGTTTCACCGATGACAATCCGTTCCGACAGTTTCGGTTTCACCGATGCCTTATTATGCCATGGAAGGCTGCCGCGCCGTGGCTTGAAGCACCCAACGACGAGGATGCTGCCATTGAAAATGCGACGTATGTCGCCAAGAAGAAGCTGCTGGAGGACATCGTATCTCGGCGTATGCCATCCGTCCACGATGTCTGCGAGGAGTAACGCATGTATCCTTCGTAGGACTTGCGCCAAGCGACGGCGCGTCGTCTGTGAAGGACGAGCGCCGATGCAACTTTGAGATCATCACTGTCCCATTACGTCGGAAGAAGGTCGAGCCGAAGCCCGTGGTCGTGGCTGAAGAGCCCGACACCGACGAACTGACCGGCCACCTCGACGTCCGTCGTTGTGTTGTTTGTTTCCAAACTCACGTCTCTCGCGTAGGGATGGGAACATGCATGGCGGGGCGACTTGAAGCTGCACAAGAAACGCATCTTGCACGAGATATGGACCGACCCCCGCGATCCCGCCATGGGACGCATGTTGGCGCTGCAAAACATCACCCAAGTCCACGGCCAAAAGCTGCTCGAGAAGATCCATGCCGCCATGGACGCGATCGGAGACGCGCTCTTCACGACCATGCGCGCCACGTACGTGAAAACGTACCAGAATGGCATGTTCACGACCGACCAAACCATCACGCGGTTGCTCTCGTCGTTCAAAATTGAAATCCGAACTGCCTTGACCGCCGACGCAGTGCGCCAAAAGGTCTTGCGATATATCATAAAAACAACTCGAAAATATGTATATATATATATCCAAGATTTCCCATATATATATGTATCCAAGGTTTCCCATATATATATATATGTATCCAAGGTTTCCCATATATATATATATATATCCAAGGTTTCCCATATATATATATATGTATCCAAGTTTCCCATATATATATATATGTATCCAAGTTTCCCATATATATATGTATGTATCCAAGGTTTCCTATATGTATCCAAGGTTTCCCATATATATATATATGTATCCAAGGTTTCCCATATATATATATATATCCAAGGTTTCCCATATATATATATATGTATCCAAGTTTCCCATATATATATATATGTATCCAAGTTTCCCATATATATATGTATGTATCCAAGGTTTCCTATATGTATCCAAGGTTTCCCATATATATATATATGTATCCAAGGTTTCCCATGTATATATGTATCCAAGGTTTCCCACATATATATACAACATATATATATATATATCCAAGGGTTTCCATACGTGATATATTTATGCAAGGTTTGTTCATATATATATATATATATATTATATCCAAGGTTCATTTGACTGATGGTGTCCATATGTACTATATAGTGTTGGGATATATATATATATATCTACCCCTCGTTTGTTGAACTGAAAGTGCGTGTATCTGTACTATTAG